TGCCACGTGTCTACTACAAGCCCAGCTCCACCCCAGCCGCACGTTTAGGCCTGGCCCATGTTTAGACGGTCCGGTACGCCGGTTCCTTCGGGTATTTTTTTTCCTTCACTCCTTCAATGGAATAGAAGAAATTTGAGGTCATGTTTGGTTACTGTCCCGAAAAAAACTCATATGGGCACCTAAATCCAAAATGGATAGCAAGAGACCTAAAATCAGTCTTCAACATAGTACCTATACGGGAGACGTATTTTGGGTTGCCTGAGAGGCACAATCCAAATATAAGCATCCTCTCTCCTGAAAACTCATTTGCAGAAAGTATTCTCTTTTGATCTTATTGTTGGAGAAGATGCCGAATAGGTATTGAACCTTTTGCCTGTAGCGCTACCCAAATGACGAATGAGTCTTATATTTTGGGTGTTGTTGTTGAAGATAGCCTTAATTCCCTCATGAAAATTTCAATTTTGACGTTGATCCATGCAGCATGATGAGTTTACTATAACTATTTGTTTTGTCAATGTCTTAAAGCTGGGCATGCGAGCGTTTAACGCACCGCATGCCCACGCTCCACCTCGACTTCCCTCTCTCTCTCTCTCTCTCTCTCTCTGCGAGCTCCTCCCTGGAGGTCGCGCCCGCGCAATGCCCACACCCGTGCCCCACCGCGCATGCGTCCCCACCAGAGTCGAACAAGAAGAATATGACTGCTAGGGTTCCGGCGAGGAGCCTAGAGGCAGGGGGGCTAAGCGGTGGGGACGGAGGGAAGACGGCTTTAGGGTCCTGACGGCGATGGAGGCGGTTGGGCTAGCAGGTCGGGGTGGGGGCGCCCATGGCCATGGCGGCGGCAGGAGGGGCTAGAAGGAGGCCGCTGCGGGCGCGCTAGGGTTTTGCCATAGCTCTGCGACGGCAGGAGGGGGCATTGGCAGGGCAAGGGGAGCCAGAAAGGGAGAAGACTGCGGACGCAAGGGGCAGAAGGCGGTCGTGCGGCTCAGCTAACACACATGCGACCGTGCGTCAGCTGCATCCATTTGTTTTTGGACTGATGCATATAGCATCTTGAAATCAATGAACCATGACTCTGTGAGTGTGTTATCACCGCATGATTGTTGAATTAACGTAACAAACGTGTTTGAATTAGACATAGGTTAATGTGATGTGGGTTTTCATCACATTTTGGCAAATAAGAAACCACAACATTCATCCAATTTCTATTTTTCTCTCCCTTCACATGTTCTCTCCCTAATCCTCAAATCTATAGATTCCCTCTTTTTTTGGGGGGGGGGGTTATAGCTTCCCTCTTGAATTTAGCATAGATGCTATGTTTCTCTCTCTATTTTTTATCAATTTCCCTTTCAGTCCTTTTCAAGAACAAACTTTTTAAAACAAATAACGAACCCTCTAGAACACGCCCTCCATGCACCAAATCGTGCTATTTTTTCTTCGAAGAAGACATGCTACATACCTTTCACAACGAATCGAAAATGGTGACGAATAGATTTGATTAGTTTCCTTGTGAAAATATTGTATATTGACATTAATCCATACTAAAAAATAAAGTCGTTTTGGACAGCGACACGGTCTCCAAAATATAACTTTGACTTCTTATTTTTATAAAAAAATATTTATTGAAAAGTGATATATGTATATTTTTATGAAAGTATTTTTCAAGACAAATCTATTCGTATGGTTTTCACATTTCCAAACTCAACAACTTAAAAGTTATTCATGATTTATATTCCCAATGTTTGACCCAAACCTTGTCCAAAATGACTTTATTTTTTAGTATAGATGGAGTACAACTTACCATGTTAAACTAATGTTAACTTTTTCTTAACACACGAAGACGATGAGGCCAAGTTGCCCCATATACGCTAGGCAACACATGTGCTACAATGGGCGGGGCAAAGGGTCGTGGTCTCACGAGGGTGAGCTAACTCCAAAAACCCATCCTCGGTTCGGATTTGCAGCTACAACTCGCCTGCATGAAGCAGGAATCGTCTTTATGTCGGGAAGTGCTAGTACGTTACCAACATCGTGCAGTAGAGTCTTGACACACTTGCAAAACCATGTGGTCACCGTGTTTGACTTAATCATGTGTTACTTTGTAGTCAAAATTTTTAATATATATTTAGCATTTAACACACCCTAAATGATCGAAAACCCTATTAATGTGTGAGCGCTAGAAATCACTCGGGTGGCTCTTTTTCCGTGTAGGATCTATATGCAATATCCATTCACTTTCCATTTTGACAACTTAACCACATGGTCTCTCTCCAATCATTCGATCTACATCTTTAATTCGATGTAAATGCTTGGCTTCTCTCCTTCTCCTCCCTCAACCATATATATCCTTCCCTACCTCTGACCTTTTGCTCCTTTTTATTTCATTTTATAAGAACAAAATCGAGAAAACAAGCAACAAACCATCTAGGCTCCAAAACCGGTTCATAATATTTTTTCTTCCTGTAAGACATGCTACACATGTTTTGCAACAAATCAAAAAAAATGGCGACGAATATAGGCCCTATGTGGTTAGCTTCCTTGTGAATAATGTTTATTGACATTAATCCATACAACTTACTGTTGAGCTAGAGTTAACTTTTTCTTAAGCCGCACATAAAGCCTTTTATGTCAGGAAGCACTAGTGCGTTACCAACATCATGCACCGGAGGCTTGATACACTTGCAAAACCATATGGTTGTTCAATTAATGTAGCAAACGTGTTTGACTTCATCATATGTTACTTTCTCATTGAATTTATTAATATATTCTCTTCGTTCCAAATCATAAGTCGCCTTGACTTTTTTGGTATATCTGTTTTGCTATGTATCTGGATATCGCTTTGACCTTTTTGGTGCATCCATTTTGCTATGTATCTAGATATAACATATGTCTAGATACATAGCAAAACAGATGTACCAAAAAAGTCAAGGCGACTTATGATTTGGAATGGAGGGAGTATTTAGTAGTTCATACGCCACAAATGACCGCAAACCATATTTAATTAGCGAGCGCTAGAAATCACTCACGTGGCATTTTCGTGTGAGATCTATACGCAACATTCATCCACTTCCTATTGTTGACACCACCACGTGGTTTCTCTCTCCCTCTCGTCCAACAAGCCTAAAAGAATCAATTAGGTCTAAGCAGTTTTTAACCATAAACCGAAAACCAAACCAAAGTATCGGTCTTTTCGGTGTTTGACTTGGCTTCGGTTCTTGGTTTTGTCCAGTTCAGTGTTCAACAATTTGTTCGGTTACTAGGCAACAAAAACCAAACAATCACTTCAAGCGAACTTTACTATATCATGGTGTGCCGCCAAGGGAAGCTATCAAGTTTGTGTCACTGAAGACTTCTGGATCTGAAGAAAACAACACGTGATGGGGCCATGGAAGCATCGACACACCATTTTTTGTCACCAACTCAGTAAGCAATCTAGCCTTATCGTCATTTCAATTTGGCCCATGACCCAACAACTATCAGGCCTTAAAATATAATCACATGGCCCTCGTTAGCATGTAGGAGGAGCAGGATCACGTCATTGACACCCGCAACACTTTTACTAGCCCATGATGAGAAGTTCACATGCATGGCAAAACTGAAACCGAAATTGTTGGTTTCTATGTTTTACTTTCACCAATCGGTTCTAGACTATCCTAAACTTAAGTTTCATGGCACCGAATAAACCAAACAAGTAGTCAATGCAATAAATTGCCCAGCCCTAGGATCAACAATGCCTATAGTTGGTGAATAACTTGATCTAAAAATTTCTTACAAAAACTTAAAGTAGGGAATGAGTAAAATTTCAAAAGTTTTTGGTATTTGATCGGAGTTTACAGTCTTGATCGGAAGTTCAGAAGATCAGAGAAACTATGGAATCAACAAAAAAAATTAGCTCCAATTTTAGATCGCTGAAGAGAGGGGGAGAATAGAGGGGCTTTGAATGCTCTTATATGCTATTGGCCAAAGTTTAGTTAGACTAAATGAAGTGGGTAACAATTAGGAGGAGAGAAGAAACATATTTATATCTTTTCTTCCAACTACCCATTTATAGCGAAGTCGAAACTTCTAACAGAGATATTGAAACTTCTCATGATCGAAACTCCTGACTAGGAAGTAACTTCCAATGTTGCGCAAATATGCCAAGGTGCACACAAAATCAGAACTCCGGTCCTAACGAACATTGGAACTTTCGATCTTCGGAACTTACAAGCAACTTCTGAAGTTGCACATTGGGCGTGCAAAACTGGAACTTCAGGAAACCTGAAAACTTCTAGGTTTCCCAACTTGCTCAAGTGTTTTTTATGTGTCGCTTATTTAATCTTATCTATCATTTGAGCACTTTATCTTCTCCAAGCCTATGAGATTCATGTTTCTCTTTTACCATGTATTTGGAAAAAACGCAACAATATATACAACAAATTTCTCTCTATGATATATGTTTTGACAGTGCATTTGTTTGACCTTATAGATATCAATATATTTTTTTTCTAAAAATCAGCCAAAGGTTGGGAAATTTGACTTCGGATAAAACTGAAGTAAACTAGTATAATTTAGACCGAAGAAACTATCCGATCCGCATTACATGTCAACAAAGTACAAACCTATATTGCCCCTCCCAACAGCATGAATGTTTATGTTTTTCCATTTTTCTTTCTTGAGTGGCACGATCAACTAAAATGGATATGCATCGCATCCCATGGTAATAATTGACAAAAGCATGAACTTACTTAACGCATGTACGGTTGTTCGATGGAGTCGCCGAGTTTACACGCTACAGCTCACTGGCCCCTCAAAAACCAAACCAAAGGAAGGCTGGGGACAAAGGAGCCAGCAACCAGAGAGCTCTAGTAAAGCACAGCGAACCAGCAAACGCAATGGTAACCCACAACAAGCCACACCACCAATCACGTACGTACAAATTCCAAGCACAAATGCGTCGAAAGGAGATGGAAGAAGAAGAAGAATGCAATGCAAGCAACGGTGAGTCCGACACGTGTATATATCTACTTGAAGGGCCTCCTGCCGAGCCCGGCCGGCATGGACACGGTGGAGTCCACGCTGAGCTCGCTGATCGACCGCGTCGACCGGTGCCGCCCGCCGGCCACCGACGCCGCCGGCGTGGCCACCCTCGACGACGTCAGGCCGCCGCCGGCCTTCCAGAACGGGCTCTTGGGCCAGCTCCCGATGCTCTGGCCCAGCCCGAACGAGAACCTGGGCTTCTCCTGGGCCGCCTTCTGCTGCTGCTGCTGCAGCTGTGCCCGCGCCCGCGCCTTGGCGGACGCCGACAGCGTGGGCGTCATGTAGTTGGGCACGCCGCCGAACGCCGGGCAGCTCGTCAGGCTCTCGTCGTCGCGGATGCTCCCCGCGTGGCTCAACGGCGGCGGCGGGACTCCCACCTTGGTCACGGGCCTCGTGGCCCTTGTCTTGGAGTAGGCCGACACCACCGACCGGGCCGGCGTCGTCGCCGCCGTCATCGCCATTGGCGTCGTCGTCGTCGTCTCGTGGTGGGACATGGCGAGCGCCGGCCGGGGCTTGCTGCTGGCGGGCTCCACGGGGCGGTAGGCCCCCGGCTCGTGGCGGCGCCCGATGGGCGTCCACCACCAGGGGCTCCGCCCCGACTGCAGGTCCGCCAGGATCGCGTGGGCCGCCATCGGTGTCGCCTTCAGCAGCTGCCGTCGTCGTGGCCGACACCATTGCCAAAAGGTCAGGACAACAAACAAACAGCACGTCAGTCGGTGCGTGTGATCGATCGGATGACAAGGTTTAGCGATAGCGAGAATAATCTCAACTCCAACTCCTGCCAAACAGCGACGGCGCACCACCGCCGCCTGCTTTGCTTTTAGGTGGCCGATCACCACAGAGCTGTGGCTTTTCGATTCCATGTCCATGTCCATGGCGGCGATGAGAACGGGTTACGTGTGCTTCGGCACCGTACCTGATGGGTGTAAGCGTAGGCGAGGGCCCTCTCGCGCTTGATCACGGCCTCCACCTTCCGCTTCGTCCGGGCGTCCGCCTCCTCCCGCGTCAGCCGGCTGTCATCCCAAATGCCGCCGTCCTGCACGCGTTGGATCCCACCGGAGAGAGAAGCTGAGGTGATCAAAGGAAAGCCATGGAGTGCGCCTTACTCTCACTGATGTAGACTAGTACCTGTGAGCCGGCGCGCCACCTGCCGCCGTCCCTGAGCATGGCGCTGTGGTGCTGCCGGTTGCGCCGCTCCATGGCCTCCACGCGGCTGGCGCGCACCTGCGCCTGCACGCGGACCAGCGTCTGCATGCACCGCATCGCCTGCGCCGTCTGCCGCCGCACGCTGGCGCCGCGCATCACGCCCTGCAGCCGGATCAGCCCGCGCAGCGACCGGTAGTTCCGCCGCGCCTGCAGCCAACGCCATTAAAAAACGCGCGACGTCACAACCAACCAACCGCATCGACGCGTCGTGCGAACGAGAAGAGCAAAGCTAAGCGACGAGATGGACTTGCCATGTAGCCCCGGAACGCGGACTGGATCGCCACGGCCGCGCCGCGCGCGCGGTCCGGCGGCGCGGCGCGCTGCCTCGCCGCGCGGTGCCGCCTCGGCTGCTGCTGCTGCTGCCGCCGCCACTCCGTCTCGGCCCTGCTCTGCGGCTGCAGCTTCTGCTGCTGCTCCCTGTCATGGTCGAACCTCCTGATCAGCGGGGGAGGGGACGGCGGCGGCAGCGGGAGCGGGAGCACCACGGAGGCCGGCTTGTCTTCTCTGCTGCGCTCGCGCTCGCGCTCACGTTCTGTTCCCACCACCGGCCGTGGCAGCGGCGCGGCAGCAGAAGCGGCGACGGCGGCGGTGGGCCTGGCCGGCGTGATCTGGTACTGCGCCCTGGTGGCGGCGTAGTACTGGCGCTGCTGGTCCATCTCCGCGTCGCCGAGGATCTTCTCGATGCTGCTCGGCTCGCGGTACAGCGGGATGTTGATCAGCGCGCCCGCCGCCGGCGACGCCGGCTCCGCGTGCGGCCGCGACCGCCCGAAGCCTCCCCATCGCTTCTTGTCCCTCCCGTGCCCGTGCGAAGACGGGTACTGCGCTACCAGCTGATGCACCTGCGTGCCAATTTGCCATTGATCGAGCACGTTACTCCACAGCAATCAACATCAAATCCAAATTCTTTTGACTTCCTTTAACCTTTGTTGGTTGCAATATGGTACAACCACTTGATTTGGTGAGAAAATCTGCTTTGAAATGTAGCTAAAATGATGCATATATAAATATAATCAATCAATTAATTAGGATCATTTTTTGAGTACCAGCTTACATTTGTTGGCTTCTCCTTGGGGCTTGAGGTGAAGGCCTTCTTGAGTGCAGTGAACCAATTCCCCTTCTTACCCATCTCCTTAACATTTCTCCTTCCTACCGTCCTTTAACATTTCCCACTGCCAGGGAGGCCTCTGTAATTCAATGAACAACGGACGAGTGGGAAAGAAAGCTTGCATCATTGTTGTGATGAAATACTATTTTTTAATAAGTAAACCCTGGTCGTGCAAAATCATAAAGTATTCGAGGCAAGAGGAAGAAAGTCTGGCGCTTTGTTCAGAAGGAATGACCTGTCTAATAACTAGCACATGAACACATTATTATCAGTCTGTAAAGTTGAACTTCGAATGTGTGGTAATCCTTACGGACTTACAGTACCCGATATCGCTATCATTCCTACTGTATTTATTTTTGCATTGTAGAAGTGGCTTTAAAGCGGCAGAGTAACACCAAAGAGTTGATGGGCATGAATATGATTCGGCAGCATACATGTCAACATTTGCTATTCAAGATTTCCAGGAAAACTTCAACTGCTGATATACAAGGTAACTGAGTTTAATCGAATCCCGTAGGTTAAAGTTTGTATGAACGAATGAAGCGACCAAGTTCTAAAAATAATGTTCAGAAAAATTACATTACTAAGCAGTTCAGTAGTTGCTGAAAAAATTAGCATGATTTGTATATTTACAGTGCAACATAGCAGGGGATATCTTATTTTCAGGGTGGAAAAAAGAAAACAAAAAGAGAGTATGATGTGAACCAAAGGTGCATACCTTGTTTACAGTTCCACAGCCTCTTTCTCCAAGATCTTGCTCACACTTCACCAGAGTTGCAATGCAGTCCTCCCAGTAACCCCCTTATGCTCTCTGGTCTAATATCCTCACAAGATCATGACATCTAGCTACATGCAGGCATCGGAGGACCGCACCTTGCCATGGCCTTTTTCCTTGGAACTAACTCTCTGCACTTCGTGAGAGGGACGTCTTATAGATTTTTTTCGCGGATTGGTGGTGATGAATGGGAGTGCCCACTTTCCTACTCGATGACACCCGACCAACCTTGCTTGATTGCCAAGCCTCAAAAGGCAGCATAGCATTTTGCTGCAGCCTGCAGCTGCAGCTGCAGGGAGGACTTGAGGGTCACTGTTCTGTTGTGCCTTGCCGTGCCTTGCCTATTCAGTAGCAGTACTTCAACACATGTCTTTTTGGGCCCTGCCATGTGTGATGCATACTCGTAGTTGTACAACATGGCCTGTGCAGTTGTACGCAGACCATCCAGCTAGTAAGGCTGCAACGTGATTGGTTGAAAGGGCAGTCTACAAGAAGTTATGGTAGGTTGTAGTAGCAGGTATGTTTCACTATCATTGGACTACTGAACTAGTATGAGCAAAGGGAATACTAAATACTTACCTGGATTTTTTTTGTGGTAATGTTTTGCTTGGTTCATAAATTAAAGATCAGCGTGGTCTCTGAAATTCAGTTCAGACTAAATTCATGGCTACTGATCAGACAGACAGACGTGCTTAGAATAATCTACTGCTTCCTCGTGTGAACACATAGTAAGGGAAGAAGGCGCCGAAAAGACTCCCTGCCGTGGTAGTCTATTTATACAACTCTATCTATCTAGTCCTAGTACAGCGCACATGCTGCAACAGTAACTAGATAAAACAGCATGACTGACTTATGCGCCTGTCCCTGCATGTGGCTACAGGGCGGCAGGTGAGCTGTTCGGCGCCTGCCTCTGCAGCGGCTACAATACCACAGCAGGGAGTCTTTTCGGCGGCGCCTTCCCTTGTTGTGTGTTCACATAAGGAAACAGTAGATTACCGTGCTTACCTTTACCTAACAGTCACTGTTCAGCTGTTATTGTGCGCCGCAACATGTTTGACGAATACTAATTACGCATGATTCAGTTTTGCAAGGTTCTGTGGATTTTTAACGTGGGCAATGATGCTGTCGTGATCGTGCTGGTTGTTGGTTAACTCGGAAGCTTTTCTGTAACTAACCTGCGCTAGTCTAGACTATCCTATATGAGATAGCAGCCAGCCAGCCAGCCTCATCTCATCCGGTAACTTGATGACTATGTCATTGCTCACACAGTTGCTTGAGGATGAATCCTCCGGACCAGCACGATGATTCACTTCCAACTGTCATCCTGATTAGCAGCGTTTTGTCAATGAAGTTACCATCAACAACCAGCCAGCATCTTTGTTGTGGGGGCCAGCCAATATTCTTGCAGTTGCAGGCGGCTTCTAACTGAGCTAGCACTGAATCATTTTGTACTCCATTCTGCCAAAATTTTGAAAAATTGATTTACATTCTACCATCGGGTTATAAATATTCAGAAGTTTGTTTCTTGGCAATCAAAATTTCAAAGTCCGGCAGAGAACGAAGTAGAGTACGCGTCAGGTATTTTTATAACCGGATGTAGTATTATTTATACCAAAGAAAAAAAAGGAGAGAGATCGAACCGAATCACAGAGCGACAATATTGACCCTCGCTATGATCTCCCTTATGCGTACATGACTACATACATGAGTGGAACGTGTTGTAAAAGAAGGGGAAATGAATGGGGGATTGAGTGGCTTAAGCGCCGAGGAGACTGAGAATGGACAATGGAGTCTTGCTTGCAAGGTACTCCAGAGATGAAATGCAACTTAACATCTCATAAGATAGAGGCGTAGCTAGCTAGTTGGGTCCCTGGTCGAAATCAGAGCGCGGCTTAGTGCTGGGAGTTGCTCCTAACAACACATATGTAGGCCACGTCCATGGCCCTCATTGTCAATTCTGTCCTCATCTCCGCAACTATCTGCCTCCTCCTGCTGCTGGAGCCGTCACCTCACCTCAGCTCCGACGTTGCTTCTAGGTAGGACATGCATTGCTCCCGTATAAATTTGGAATAGAGTAGAGTAGAGTAGGCACCTTTCTGCTTGCTTCTGAAAATTAATTATTTGAAAGAGCAACCAGTTGGGCAGTTGGACTCGAGTGTAATCTAATTTAATATACAAAAGTGGATTTCCTAACGCAGATTTTAAGTGTAGTACTTAAAAAAAAATCATAACCGACGTCCCACATGCAAATATCTGTTTTTTTTAATAGTTGTATCTGAAAGCACTGGAAATAAAGCCGAAGCAGCTATTTCTGAACTTTTAGCTCCTTGTAGGTACAGTTCATGCGGTTCAAGTTAGCTCTTCTGATACGTTTTCACACACCTAACGTCGAGGATTATAAGGTTCGATTGCGTGCTGTTTCGATCAGGTGGTGGTCGATCGACACACACATACAAACTCTAAGAGCTGCTGGTGAGTAGCGATCAGAAAGAAAGAAGAATACTGTGCCTTGCAAACAGTGGTGTTGTGCGCTCCAGGCTGGGCCAATCGAGGAGGCGGGCGACTGAGCATAGCACACAAAGCTTGGCAGGGGTGCGAGTTCAGGCTCCCCATGTGGCATGTGCAGTGCACGCTGCACGCACGTGAAGTCACCGGAGTGGCGCGGTGGATGACCACCGCCGGCGCCGGCCTTTCGCTGCTTCAGTTGCAAGATATCCTCAGCAGAATCTGGGCTGCTCGCTCGTGCAGTGCAGTCCATGGCTACATGCAGGTGGTTTGAATAGCTGCGCAACGCAAACATCTCCTGTCTGAAACCGGTGGTAGTGTGGTACTGAGCTTGCCTCTTGATACTGCACAGACGCCGGACGCCAGACGCCTCGCTCGTGTGTTCATATTTGGGCCAAGTTTTCTGCTCGAAATGGGCTTTTGGACACACAAGTCTTTCCAATGAGAGCATCTGTTTTCTGGGCCCAGGCCCATTTACTGCAGCTCGTATTCAAATACCGATTGCAATTCGATCCACATTATTCAAAAATTCTATTACGCGACCAGTCGCGCTGGGCGCCGAGCGCGCGACGTGGGCCGGCCCACGCGCCCGCTCCCGCTCCCGCGCTGTGTCAGAGGGGAGGGGCTCGCCCAAGCCCGCGCCCCGCCGGAGAGGAAGAAGAGGGGGCTTGCCGGAGTTAGGGTTGGGCATCACCGGCGACTCTAGAAGGAGGTTCGGGGGGAGGCGGCCGTGACATGGCGGTGGTGGCGGGGTGAGGGCGGTGCGGTGGGGCGGCGGGGGACAACCGGATGGGTGGGGTTGGCGGAGGGGGCATCGTGGTGGTGGTTGGCGGTGAGGTCGTGTGATTAGGGTGGGTGGGTTCGAGGGGCGGGAGCGGTTGTGGGCGGCACAGCGAGGCGGGCCGCCGGTGGTGGGGCGGGGGCGGGGCGAGGACGAGGATGGCGGACTCACCGGTGCCCTCGGGTTAGGGGAATGTAGGGTCGTTGGGCGGCGACGGGTTGCTGGCGGCGCGACTGACGGTGAGGCAGCCGCGGGCGGGGGCGGCTGGGGGAGGAGGCGGGGGTGGGATAGGCAGTGCGCCAGAGGAGAGGAAGAAGGCCGTGGGAGAGCACTCGCGGCGGCCGTCGCGCGTTTCCCACACGTGCAACCGGTCACACGATATCATCGTCCCACATTATTACCATGTGTTTTTGTTTTCTTTTGCTCAGAAAAAACACGCTTCTGCTTTCTTTTCACCTTTACTCTGAGAGGCGCGGGTGTCTGAGATTTTTTGTGTGTCATCCTCGTCCTGGAGTTTTCTTTTTTCACTTTTCCTACACGGCTACACTCCATGTGCTTGGAATCTCGGAGAGCTTTCGGGTGACCCGCTCGCACGCCCGTGATGCCCCATGCCCACGCGCTTGACCGTGCCCGCGCTACCCCCGCCACCCCGTGCCCGCACCCCATTGAAGACGAAGACGACGACGGCGACAGCCTTCCTCTCCCCCCTCTTTCTTCTCCAAATCCAACGGGCATAGAAGGTGTTCTGGGGGAGGTAGACTGACCAGGCGGTGGGGCGCGGGGCAGGCGGCTTTAGGTCCTAACGGCGGTGGAGGCAGCCGGGCTAGGTCGGGGTGGGGGCGTCGCGACCGTGCTCGTCGTAGTTGGAGAAGATAGCGGTGGGAGGGGGGAAGGGGAAGAAGGAGTTCGCTACGGACGCGGTATAGTCTCGCCGGAGCTCTGCCGCCACGCCCCCTATTGCGCGGGTCTGGGCTGCTAGACGAAGGAAGAAGATTCATAGGACAGGTCAATGGAGCGTTGGATCAAGATCCAACGGCTTATATTTGTCGCCCGAATGAAATGAAAAATTCAGGCGCGTCATATATAGCAGCTCCCTTCTTCTTTTTTCTTATTCGAAAATCGCTGCAGTTTTTCTAGCATTGCTCCTCTGAGGCTCTGAGTCGTGGTCCTGAACTCGTGCCCTCGAAATTCGGAGCATGCGCATATAACATCTTCTTCAAAACTTGTACCACTATTTCGCAGTAGCTGGAGCGTGGAGTGAATGGTCAGATAAGCCAGCATCTCCGGTAGGCAGACGAACCAGCACGGCGGCACTACACGTCTACACCTGAATTCAGCCCCTGCACGCCAAAAGCTGCGACTTGTTCGAACCAGCAGAGTTGGCCATTGACTTGTGGCGTTGGACTTTTTGCTTTTCTTGCTCGTGCGTGCATGCCCATCGTCGGCACCATCGTGGTTTGGTTGGCGACGCCACGTATAGCACGGCCAGAAGTCAAAAAGAAAGACTAGCTAGTGGCGACCCATCTACCACTACAGATCCTAACGCCACGTTCGGTTCGGCGAAACAGAGTCCTGCTCTGTTTTTGTCCATGAGAAATGGGTTGGTTGCGATTTGTTCTGTGATCTTGTTACTGCAGAGTGACGGGTTGGTCTGGTCAGTAACACCACCGAAGAGGCCAAGACATGCATGCAATTCGTCGCCGAAGTCCAGGTGTAGTACCTAAATAGTACTACTACCGCGAACAATCTCTCATCCATCATGCATGCATGCATAGGCCAGGCTTAACCAAGAAGAATGACTAAAATATAAACAAGATCGAGCAGGTAGGCCTATGTGTAGAACAAAACTGCTGATTCATTAGCAAGAAGTAACTTTTCCTGTATATATATATACACACACACACATCTGTATCTCTTGAGAACCTCAAAGGAAGCAAAAAATGGTGTATGGAGAAGTAAACTGAACCAAAGAACCCTAGCTACAACTACAAGGTTTCACCCTTTCGTGAAACCGCAGGCAACGTGCGACCGCACCGCAGCGTACGTGTTCAGTGCCCCGCGCCTCCCCCGCTTGGCCCCTGCGGGAGCATTTCCATCAGCTTGGACACCATCGCCTCGTACGCCGACCCCGCGGCCGGGCTCGGCGGCACGGGCCTCGCGGCGTCCGCGCACCGCGCCGCCAGGCTCAGCGCCACGACGGCGGCGAGAAGGACGACGGCAACGAGCGTTGCACGGTGGCCCATGGCTGGTGAGATGATTTCCTGCCGGATCTGCTGTACGTGCAGCCTCGCTCGCTGTACGTGTCTCAGCAGGCTCCTTGACGACGAACAAAGTGTGCGATGTGTGCTGTGCTCTGCTCTGGACACACCGGAAGAGGCTGCCGCACGCTTATATAGAGTCGAGCGTGCCACTCTGGCACCGGGCGTGGGCTGGCAAGGTACGTACGTGGTTTGTGCCGGGTCGCCGGCCGGGCGGTGTTTTCTTTCCTCCCGCGCCAGGTCTCTGCTTTGCAGCCAACTAGGTTGAAAATTTCGTGCAGGAATGCTGACCCGTTTTAAGTGCTGGGAGGGATCCTGCTGCCGCCTCCCGGGCGGGAACCCAGAACCGGTCAAGAATTCAACTCCGCGACCACGACGGGATCCGATTTTTTCCATCCGGCGCTGGGTCCTAGCCATGGCCAGCCAGAGCCCTGGTCGCTGCTGCGCTGGACGGCCAGAGAAACGGTCAAGGATTTGCCACGCTCGGTGACACGAAGGCCGCCCGAATTTTCGGTGATCCTCTCACGGGCGGCATGGGGTTTTCAGGTGCAGCGGCCTGCTGCCAGGCCAGGCCAGCCGGAGCCGGCCAGCAGGTTGTTGTGTTGGTGCACCGCCACCTGATGGGAACCCGGACGGAGCGCAGCGGAAACAGTTGGAGGGGGTTCGGGATCCCAGAGTCCAACAAGGCAACAACACGCACGCACGCGCGTCCTCGGCAGGAACCAGCGCCCGGTTTCCGACGCGTACTTCCAAGGCAGAGACGCAGCACGGGCGGGCAGCGCTGGAAAGTCAAGGCGGTTGAATTCACAGGCAGCCCGGCATCGGATGAGTTGAACACGCCAGCGTTGAGCTTACCGACCGTACTGATCTTTTTGTTAATGATTTCTTCCCAGTCGTACCAAAGTGCTTGGCATGCACGATACTATCAACAGATTACGCAAAGGGGCACTGATGAAACGTCATCGTGTGTGAAGCCTTAGTTTGACGATACAGTTGCAGCATTTTTTTTAAAGATGGCAAGTATGACACTGATGAAACGGCAAGGTTGTGTACAAGCAAGGACGCAAGAATAAAACATGCACCACGGATGCGCCGCCGTTCAAAGTCCGTATGATGCAGCGTCCAAAGTCCACATGCCGCGCGTTTCTCTTGGCAGGGTAGGAGTTCTGAATTCAGACGCTGAAAGACAAAAACGACCGCACACTCAACATAGTAGTAGCAAGCTTGATACGTCCAGACCAACACCAACTGCCGGTCATGAGATTGAATCATCATCAATGTCACTGAAACCACTACCATCGGTTATAATAACTAAACAATGAACCAGTCGCACCCGAGCACTGACTTGGACGGTTGGACTATAGTTGTCCATCGGGCCGGCCCGGTCTGGTACGGCACGGGCAGGGACAGGCACGGCCCGTAGGGGTTTGGGCGGCATCGATTTTGGTTTATTCTCGCTAAACTTAGCATGGTATCCCCACGGCCCTCGTTCAATGGCGATCTTCGCCCAAGCTTAAGCACTACGGGCGAAATTCATGCATGTGAGGCCCGACTACATGTGCGGTAAAGGAATCACCTCTAAGCGTACTACCCATGCTCCAAACAAAAAACACCTCAAAAAAATCATCTCAACCAACACTTATCAAAATTCACGGTTTCACAGATTCATTCATCCATCGTCTCAATTCAAATCACAAATATAAAATCTAAGTTCAAATGACCAAATCCAACAAAAAAAAAGGAACCAAAAGAGACAGAATTAAGATAAATGAGCTATGTGCAATGTCTCTATCATTCATTAAAAAACATTTCTAGGTAAAACTCACTCTCATTGTGAGAAAATCACGATCAAAGCTATCGACTGCAAGAAAAAGATATGGAGGAGGATGAAAAGATCACATCATAATACATCAATGGAAGAAGATAGAAGAGGAGGTTAGGGCTTAGGGTTTTTACCGCGCAACCGAGCCTGACGGGAGAAGACGACCACCACCTGAGAAGACTACACATCGGTTAGCAGTGTGATAAAAGCGGCGAAAGGAGGGATAGACGGGGACAACGAACTCACATAATCACCGAGATCTAGAGGGGAGATAGGGAGACAGAGAAGGGAGAGGCAGAGAGGGAGGGGGATCGGGAGGTCCGGAGATCTCATTAGTCGGAGTCGGCGAGGTTGACGCCAAATATGTTCTATCTGACGGCAAGAGGCAGACTTCTTCACCAAGCCTCAAACGAGACGAAGAGCATCGGCGAGACCGCGAGAAGGTGAGAGCGGCAAGGCGGTGGCCGATTCTTGAGCCAGCATTCAGTGGGGGAATGTTTGAGGGTTAGGGTTGAGGAGGGAGAGTATAGTCTAGAGCTAGAGCGTTCAGGTGGTGGGGGAGCCAGGAGGGAGGAAATGATTTAGGGTTAGGGTTGAGGAGGGATGTATCTGTGGCTATCGCTTTATACGCAAGATTCACGCTGATTTATTCTGCTAAAATTAGCAGTAGTGGGGGGATACTTCCTGACCAACGCAACTGCCGGTCATGAGATTGAATCATCATCAATGTCACTGAAACCATTACCATCGGTTATAATAACGAAACCCTTGAAAACCGCACCCGGGAGCACTGACTTGGACGGCTTGACCCATCGCCAAGCACGGCCGCTTTCTAAAAGGAATATCTGATCGCCCTTGACACCAACGGGTGCCGCTTGGGCCAGCCAAATTTATGGGTTTTCGTGCCAGGCTGCCAGGCCTCGGGCTGCATAGACATCTATAGGTTGACCCGTCGACAGGCACCGCAAGGAAAAGGAATATCTGATCGACTTGAGTTCCAAGTCTCAAGTCCAAAACACATGTTATGGCACTTAAAAAGGGGGTAAAATTAAAACCACGAGGTGGAAACTTCAAACTTTGACTATATATATAGTATGCAAAAAGGCTCTAGGGCGAGTAGTGATTTACAACAACTTATGGCTAGCTGTACAAATGTCACGCGAAGGGAAAATGCCGAGAAAATTACCGATTCCATACTCATTAACAAACAGTCAAGGCGCACTTGTGTTTCAAAGGCGCAATGTGAGCAATCTGCGGCTGTACTGTCTTCTGGGAAACGAGATTCCGTCAGGCCTGCTGAATTGACAAGAAGGATGGAATCTAATATTCTTTGGCCTTCCTCCGCAGCTCGTTTAGCTCGCTCTCAATCTCTAGGTCGGGGAAAGGGCGCCCAGCACCTGAGTTGCTGACTGCTGTTCTCCCTGGAGGAAGCTCTCCTTTCTGTAGGTGACATGCAATTATATTCATTTTGTATTGAATAAATGAGCAACCAATTCATTTGTAAGGAGAAAAGGAGAGAGAAGGGAAAGCAGTAAGACAAACAAAAGGCAGTGCATATGCATATCATTCTTCAACTGGCTTGCTCTAATAAAGAAATAAAGGTAATGGGTGTATTGTCAGCAGGCTCACATGGACTTTGTTCACAGAAATATCTGTATTAGGCCTTGCATACTTAAGCATTAGGTTATGACCAGGTATACTACGAAGACTCAAAAGAAGGAACAAATTCTAAAGGTGAAGTCCACCTCAGAGGGATTGACCAAATCTAACTCTGAATCAGTGGAAATTATAGAAGATGAATAGAGCAAAATATTTTGGAAGGACCAAAAATTTGATGGCTGTCTACTCATTGTAATCCATATTGTATAGATTAATCAACGCCCAATTTTTTTTTTAAAAAAAAAAAAATACGTCCAGTAAATGTACACCAAAATAGCATCATGTCATTTTATCTTGTGAACAAGCAGATATCTCATTAGCTTAAATTGTTAGCTGTTGCTGAAATAAATCAACAGATGAAAGATCATCAGCTAGAAGGAACATTTACTGAAATAAATCAACAGCAGATATCTCATTAGCTTCAATTGTTAGAATTCTAATTTGAGAATCCAGATAACAATACATACCAAAGAGCTTCCAGACAATTCCTTTTTCAGTTGTGAAAGATCGTCATCAACAGATGAAGTCTCGAGCAGTGCAAACTGTTAACCAATAAATAAAGATAGTCATGTGCCATTAGCACAACAAGGCAAGTATTTAATGATTTGTTTGTAAATGTTCATTTTTACCTTTCCTTCTAGATCATCAGTTGCTAACTGGCCGAGTGCCTCTGCTTGGGATTCCATCGCCATAACTGCATCAAATGTGTAATTATTGCATTATTTGTCTGAGAACAACATTCTGACATTCTACCATGGAATAAAACATGTTGCTGATAAACACATGAAGCAAGCAAAGATACCATCAGACATCATTCTTGACTAAAAGAAAAAATATGATATTCGCAAGTCACAACAAACACATTGCAGTTAAAATGAAGTTTTTGAGGATGTTGTTATGCTTTGCCAATATCATACTCAAATTAACTCAAATGCATAGTGAGAGATCCAATAGATGCCTTGAGGATGTAGATTGTAGTCATGCCTTGTGAAGATCGTACTCATAGCAGCACTAAGGCATAGTGAAATATCCAAGGATCAACCAATATCATGATATTAAAATGGAAAATCATGTTGAAAAGGATTGGACGAGAGGCCAAAAGAAGAACGTTTCTAGAAATGACACATCTATGCAATGAGCCATCTTAGGCCGCGTTCGGCTGGCTGGCCAGCTGCGGCTGGGCTGGCCAGCGCTCTCACAGTGGCACTGTTCACGCGAACAGTGTTCACAGACAGAACAGTATTTTTCCCTCCCAACACTTAGCCGGAACAGTATTTTGGCTTATTTTTCAGTCCTGCCGAACAGGCCCTTAGTGCATCTTGGTAACGTCACTGCCAAATTTCGAAGCTTCTCAAAGAAAAATGCCACTATGACCTTTGTTTTAGTTTTTTATTCTGGTGAAGTTATTGCAGCTATGGCTGTTGATATATACCTCCTTGGGCTGTTAAAGCAATTGACAAAATCGGAAGAGGTTTCTTGTGGAGAGGTAGAAAGGATGTAAAAGGTGGCCATTGCTTGGTGGCTTGGCCCAAAGTTTGTCTCCCTAAAGAGCTTGGAGGTCCTGCCATTTCCAATATCCAAAATCTCTGTTGGGCGCTTAGGATTAGATGTCTGTGGCTACAAAAACAGTGATCCTGGTCGTCCATGGAGAGTGTTTCAGCTTCAGATTCATAAAGATGTTCAGGCTTTCTTCTCAATGGCAGTGGTATCTGAAGTTGGAAATGGTGCTCGCACCCTCTTCTGGTCTGATAAGTGGATCCATGGTCAGAGGGTGGCTGATATTGCACCTCAAGTGTTCGCCATAGTACCCAAAAGACGTATTAAGAGAAGGACGGTTTTTGAGGCCCTCACGAATCATTCTCGGGTATCAGAGTTGCAGGGTGCTCTAACTGTTGGAGACATTAATGAATTTCTGGGTTTGTGGGATGTCATTTCAACAGTAGTCTTGCAGCCGGATGTCGAAGATTCTTTCATCTGGCGACTCTCTAGTGATGGCTAATCGGCAAAATCTGCTTATGCAGCATTTTTTCAGAGGACAATTGCCTTCCATCCTTGGGAGAGGATTTGGAAATCTTGGGCACCTGGAAAGTGCCATTTCTTCATGTGGTTGGTTGCTAGAAACAGATGTTAGACAGTCGATCGACTTGCAAGACGTGGCCTTCAGCATCCTACTACTTGCCCCCATTGTGATCAGGACGAGGAAAACACCAACCACCAGTTGTTGTGATGCGTGTAAGAGCATCTCCAAGAGTTTGCTATCTTAACTTGGTATCCATATAATTTTGGTAAAACAAGAAAAAATAGCCTCCAACAGTTTAGCAAAACAACTTGGCATCAATAGCAACTTGACAAATCTTCCCTCCGCGCGCGCAAATATACGCGCGCGTATACGGCTTGGCATCCGGGGCTCTTCGTTTCTTAGCGGGGCTCTTCGTTCGCTTAGCGGGCCTCTTCGTTTTGTTAACGGATTTTTTTTATTTTAGCAAGTCAAAAATGTCAAACTCTTGGAGTACTTGGCATATAATTTTCGGAGTTGGCAAATCACAAGATTTGCCCAGTAAATTTTGACAAACACTTAGAGATGCTCTAAGTATGCAAATGGGGCGGCGGTGGGCAGCCCGCCCCGCATCCACTCCAACCGCAAGTCTTATGTGAGCTGATGCGGCAGCCCACATCTCGCCGCTCTATATTTGTGGGTTGGAGCGGCAGCCGTAAAGTGCCGCAACGGGCAACACACGTCCGCTGCTGTCTGCTAGACACCTCCACCCTGCCACTGCAGCGAATCCATCCCAGGAAAAACGTGCAACTTGAACTCCATTGATTCATCGTTTTCAACCACTACTGTATTGAATTGAACCAAATCAAACACAGGTGCTGCTGCTCCTGGTAGCACCAGTCCGGTACCATGCAACAATTGGCGTTTTCATAAAAAAAATTCAGAACATCCAACAACAATACAATGGGAGGAGCAACTCGGTGCCGGTGGAGGCGTCGGCAGCAGCGGTGCTGGTGGACGCAGCGACAGCAGTGGCGGCGGCGGCGCCATAGGAGCCAGGCGGCCGGCCCCTGGGTTCGCCATAGGCTCACCTAACGCAGGAAGTGGGTCACCGCTGGGATATGCGGGTTGTCCGCTTCGGCCCGCTCTATCTAAGTGGGGATACATTGCGGGCTTACGCAGGTTGGTGGCGCGGGCAGCCCAGCGGGTTGGTGCGGCAGCCCGCCCCACCTTGCATCCTTAGATGCGTGTTTTGCTCGAGAACTCTGGTTCTCCCTCCTGCGAAGGGTTGGTCTGCAGCACCTCTGTCCTCAAAGAAGATGTTTGTTTGATGACAGGTGGGATAGAATTTCCAGTGGGGCGGTTGATCTTATTCAAAAGGGTAAAGTCCACTTTAGGACCTCCAACTATCGTAGAAGTATGGATTTCAACCTCCAACTTCAAAACCGGATAACATTGGCCCTCCAACTCTCGAAAAAGTTCACTTTAGGACCACGGCCGGTTTCCAAGTGCGGTTTTGCATGGCATTGTATGCAGATCTTGACGTCGATGATGACGTCAAGACTCCTTTTAATTTGCAAAATTGATATCTTTTTATTTCGAGCTCCAAATATAGCAAATAATATATCAATTTTGATCGTCTCGACGAGCTCTTTGCAATGGTGTACTCCGTTTTGTTGTTTGAGATAATTTTATTTCATGAAAATAAATATTTCTACAAAACAAGTTATGCAATTGTCGACGTATGCAAGTATTTTATATACTTTGTATATTTATATATGTACAACACCAAACGTAGTCAAGATATATAAAACAGGAGTTGGACGGTCAATCAGACCTACCACGATCGCTAGATATTTTTGAATTAACCTTCCCTAGCTACGGTTAACTAATTGTCAACATATGACACGATCAAACGATATGTTTATCGCTCCTAGTGTAGTTTTTTTTTTCTGTTTTTGTGGTGAAATTAAGTAGCTAGTGGTAGTAGTAGTATTATATTTATCTTGTACCCAAATCCGATCAAAGATATCGATTCATGTACACTTGTCCTTTTTCCTTTCCTATGGCTACTATTGCAAAGACACAGAACCGGACGACCATTCGGCCGACTGCACGATATCTGCTTTCTCGGCCGGCATGGCATGAGTATGACCGCATGAAGTGGCAAAGTGGATAGCTAGATTGAATTGAGGGAGCAGTAGCAGCAATAGTGAGTGGCTTACTCGTGGTCTAGAATCTTGTGCGAGCATCGGTAAGTTGAGCGCGTGCCCTCGCGGGAAGGTCGTCCCGGCGAGGATCTCCGTGGTGGCGTCGGCGTTGCGGCGCCTCGTCGCCTCGCGCCCGCCGACGCGAGGTGGCAAGAGACACACAAGCGAAGCTCGTGTCGTGCAGCCTGTAACCGGACGGACACGACGCCCTTGTTGAATTATTGCAGAAATATTTTGAATTATTGCGTAAATATTTGCGCATCCCAAGCGGACGAAGCGTAAATATTTCTACAAAACAAGTTTTGAATTATTGCATTTCAAAAATGGTCAAACTTATATATTCTATGGTCAAATGAACCTAAAAGACAACATTTCGTGTTACATAATAATAAAAATATTATTTATCTAACAAATTCCACGAGTTTCATTATTCTAACTTGTTTTGTAGAAATATTTATTTTTTCATGAAATAAAATTATCTCAAACAACAAAAAGCGGAGTACACCATTGCAAAAAGAGCTCGTCGAGACGATCAAAATTGATATATTATTTGCTATATTTGAAGCTCCGAATAAAAAGATATCAATTTTGCAAATTAAAAAGAAGTCTTGACGTCATCATCGCTGACGTCAGCGCTGCTACAAGATGCCATGCAAAACCCTGTGGAAACCGCCAGGTCCTAAAGTGAACTTTTTCGAGAGTTGGAGGGCCAATGTTATCCGGTTTTGAAGTTGAAGGTTGAAATCCATACTTCTATGATAGTTGGAGGTCCTAAAGTGGACTTTACCCTATTCAAAATGGCCTTTATTCCCTTGTTTTTGACAGGGTTTCCCCTAGTGTGGCTCGAGCTGTGTTGCTAGCTACGGAGGATTTACATCTTTGAGGTTTGGCCGGAGCACAAGGTGTTAACTTTCTCTTGGCCCTTATGCCGGAGGATGGTTGACCGGCTTGTGTTTATTTTGTGGTCGTGGTCGGTCTATTGTTGTAAAGGGCACGTTTGTTGTTTTTTTTATATGTGTGGGTTTGTGTGTGTGGTGGTTCTCTTCTTAATTGGTACACAGCTCTCCTTCATGTTCGAGAAAAAAAAGTTATTGCAGCTAACAACTAGATGACAATTGAGGAATAACTTATTTTAGGGGTGGGAAGCGCTGGAAAGTCAAGGCGGTTGAATTCACAGGCAGCCCGGCACCGGATGAGTTGACACGCTAGCGTTGAGCTTACCGACCGTACTGATCTATTTGCTAATAATTTCTTCGCAGCCGTACAAAGTGCTTGGCATGCACGATACTATCAACAGATTACGCAAAGGGGCACTGATGAAACGTCATCGTGTGTGAAGCCTTAGTTTGACGATAGAGCTGCAGCATTTTTTCAAAGGTGGCAAGTATGATACTGATGAAACGGCAAGGTTGTGTACGAGCAAGGACGCAAGAGTGAAACATGCACCACGGATGCGCCGCCGTTCAAAGTCCGTATGATGCAGCATTCAAAGTCCACATGCCGCGCGTTTCTCTTGGCAAGGTAGAAATTCTGAATTCAGACGTTGATCAAAGACAAACACGACCGCACACTCAAGATTATTAGTAGTAGCAAGCTTCATACTTGCAGACCAACTGCCCGTCATGAGACTGAATCATCGGTAATGTCACTGAAACCAACGGTTAACTAAACAACGAACCAGTCGCACCCGAGCACTGACTTGGACGGTTGGACCCGTCGACAGGCACTGCAAGGAAAAGGAATATTTGATCGACTTGACTCCCAAGTCGGTCACAAAACACATGTTATGGCACGAAAGAAGGGAGTAACAACCACGAGGTGGAAACTTCAAACTTTGACTATATATATAGTATGCAAAAAGGCTCTAGGGAGAGTAGTGATTTACAACAAGTTATGGCTAGCTGTACAAATGTCACTCGAATGGAAAATGCCGAGAAATTTACCGATTCCATACTTATTAACAAACAGTCAAGGCGCGCTGGTGTTTCAAAGGCGCAGTGTGAGCAATCTGCGGCTGTACTATCTTGTGGGAAATAAGATTCCGTCAGGCCTGGTGAATCAACAAGAAGGATGGAATCTAATATTCTTTGGCCTTCCTCCGCAGCTCGTTTAGCTCGCTCTCAATCTCTAGGTCGGGGAAAGGGCGCCCAGCACCTGAGTTGCTGACTGCTGTTCTGCCTGGAGGAAGCTCTCCTTTCTGTACGTGACATGCAGTTATATTCATTTTGTATTGTATTGAATAAATGATCAATCAATTCATTTGTAAGGAGAAAAAAGAGAGAAGGGAAGCCAGTAAGACAAAAGGCACTGCATATGCATATGCATATCATTCTTCAACTGGCTTGCTCTAATAAAGAAATAAAGGTAATGGGTGTATCGTCAGCAGGTTCACATAGACTTTGTTCACAGAAATATCTGTAATAGGCCTTACATAGTTAAGCATATACCAGGTATAGTATGAATTCTAAAGGTGAAGTCCACCTCATAGGGATTGAACAAAACTAACTCTGAATCAGTGGAGATTATAGAAGATGAATAGAGCAAAATAATTTGAAGGACCGAAAATTTGATGGCTGTCTACCAACTGTAATCCATTTTCTACACTTTTAATCAATATGTCCATTTAAAAAAAAATATGTCCAGTAAATGTACACCAAAATAACATCATTGCGTTCTATCGTGTGAACAAGCAGATATATCATTAGCTTAAATTGTTAGCTACAGCTGAAATAAATCAACAGATGACAGATCGTCAGCTAGAATGGACATTTACTGAAATAAATCAACAGCAGATATCTCATTAGCTTCAATTGCTAGAATTCTAATTTGAGAATCCAGATAACAATACATACCAAAGAGCTTCCAGACAATTCCTTTTTCAGTTGTGAAAGATCATCATCAACAGATGAAGTCTCGAGCAGTGCAAACTGTTCACCAATAAATACAGATAGTCACGTGCCATTAGCACAAGGCAAGTATTTATGATTGGTTTGTAAATGTTCATTTTTACCTTTCCTTCTAGATCATCAGTTGCTAACTGGCCGAGTGCCTCTGCTTGGGATTCCATCGCCATAACTGCATCAAATGTGTAATTATTGCATTATTTGTCTGAGAACAACATTCTGACAACCATGGAATAAAACATGTTGCTGATAAACACATGAAGCAAGCAAAGATACTGTCAGACATCATTCTTGACTAAAAGAAGAAATATGATATTCGCACGTCACAACAAACACATTGCAGTTAAATTGAAGTTTTTGAGGATGTTGCTATGCTTTGCCAAGATCATACTCAAATTAACTCAAATGCATAGTGAGAGATCCAATAGATGACTTGAGGATGTAGTCATGCCCTGTCAAGATTGTACTCATAACAGCACTAGGGCATAGTGAAGTATCCCAGGATCAACCAATATCATGATATTAAAATGGAAAAGAGGCTTGGGCAAGAGGCCAAAAGAAGAACGTTTGTAGAAATTACACATCTATGCAAGGAACCATCTTAGTGCATATTGGTAATGTCACTGCCAAATTTCGAAGCTTCTCAAAGAAAAATGCCACTACAACCTTTGTTTTAGTTTTTTACTCTGGTGAAGTTATTGCAGCTATGGCTGTTGATATACCTCCTTGGGCTGTTGAAGCAGGTAGAAAGGATGTAAAAGGTGACCATTGCTTGGTGGCTTGGCCCAAAGTTTGTCTCCCTAAAGAGCTTGGAGGTCTTGGCATTTCCAATATCCAAAATCTCTGTTGGGCGCTTAGGATCTACAAAAGAGTGAACCTGGTCGTCCATGGGGAGTGTTTCAGCTTCAGATTCATAAAAATGTTCAGGCTTTCTTCTCGATGGCAGTGGCATCTGAAGTTGGAAATGGTGCCCGCACCCTCTTCTGGTCTGATAAGTGGATCCATGGTCAGAGGGTAGCTGATATTGCACCTCGAGTGTTCGCCATAGTACCCAAAAGACGTATCAAGAGAAAGGACGGTTCTTTAGGCCCTTCTTGGGTATCAGAGTTGCAGGGCGCTTTAACGGCTGGAGTCATTAATGAATTTCTGGGTTTGTGGGATGTCATTTCAACAGTAGTCTTGCAGTAGGATGTCGAAGATTCTTTCATCTGGTGACTCTCTAGTGACGGCATCTATTTGGCAAAATCTGCTTATGCAGCATTTTTCCAGGGGATAATTGCCTTCCATCCTTGGGAGAGGATTTGGAAATCTTGGGCACCTGGAAAGTGCCATTTCTTCATGTGATTGGTTGCTAGAAACAGAGTTGGACAGCTGATCGACTTGCAAGACATGGCCTTCAGCATCCTACTACTTGCCCCCATTTGTGACCAGGACGAGGAAAACATCAACCACCTGTTGTTGTCATGCGTGTTTGCTTGAGAATTCTGGTTCTCCCTCCTGCAAAGGGTTGGTCTGCAGCACCTCTGTCCTCAAATGGAAGATGTTTGTTTTGATGACTGGTGGGATAGAATTTCCAGTGGGGTGGTTGATCTTATTCAAAAGGTCCTTATTCCCTTGTTATTCTAGGTGCTTGAACTCTCTGGAAGCATCGCAATAGGTGTGTTTTTTATGGGGTTTCCCATAGTGTGGCCCGAGCTGTTTTTTTTTGGGAACATGGCCCGAGTTGTGTTGCTAGCTATGGAGGATTTACATCTTGAGGTTTGGCCGGAGCACAAGGTGTGAACTTTCTCTTGGCCCTTATGCCGGAGGATGGTTGTGTTTATTTTGTGGTCATGGTCGGTCTATTGTTGTAAAGGGTGCATTTGTTGTTTTGTGATATCTAGGTTTTGGTGTGGGTTCGTGTGGTATATATATATATATATATATATATATATATATATATATATATATATATATATATATATATATATATATTTTTTTTTTTTTTTTGTAAGGGATCTTTCCCCGTGTTTTTGTTCTCTTCTTAATTGACACACAGCTCTCCTGCGTGTTCGAGAAAAAAAAAGTAATTGGAGCTAACAACTTGATGACAATTGAGGAATAACTTATTTTAGGGGCTAGACTATTGGTATTATGGCAGCAACCTTCTGTATTGAATTTCTGGCTGCTGAAGTATGGAAGCTTGTAACTGTATATTGCGTATGCTCTAGCTGACCTCAGTGTTATAAACTTATAATAGTAAATCCTTGATGGTAGAGTTTCAAGCTATGCTCGACATAGAGTATTAGAGCATGTCTCTGCCCTAAACCAAAACCAATGGCAGAAGACCAGCCATGCAAAAAAAACAAAAGTAATATCACCATATATATAAAACATAAGGGACAATGATAGTCAGAAAAAATATTAAATCAAGGGAGTACCTTTTTCCTCCATTTTCTCAAATGCAGAAAGGGAGCTACTTGTATTCACGTTGCCCAACATTTCACTCACTTTTGTGGCAGTCCTGAAGTGAAACAAAGTCCACATCTATCAGTGTATCCACAACACAACACAAAAAAGGGGGAAAATAGTCAACAAATAATAAATGCATACTTCGCTGATTGAGCACGAGCTTTTAGGGTATCCTTTTTCTGCTTGGCCTCTGCTATCTTGCTCTCAAGAACCTACAGAATGGCATACTCCAGTGGTTAATAATTCAACAATATTGAATGAGCACTTTTCACCTGGTGCACTACATGAGCACATAGAACTGTACCAACAAATACAATAAGGATATCGAAAAGGGTCAAGACCGTTCTAGCAGTTCAAAATAGTAACTCACCTTGGTATTCGAAATCAGATTTTCAACTACACCCTTCTGTTGATCAAGCTGGGACCTTAAGGAGCTCGCATTATCCTAAGCAAACAATCACACAAACAGTAAGTCTATATTAGGAATTTGATATGTTGATTCAACATGTCACATAGATATGTAACATTCTATTCCAATCAGCGCGGTAAGGAAACCTAAAACAAGCACATTGTACTACACATCATCAATGACACATACAGCATATGATTTACGCCGCTTAAGGGCTTCGCGAGCAAGATCCTCGTCACCCTTTTGAAGAGCAAGTTGAGCCCTCCGATACCTACACTTTGACCAAAAAAAACATTATTCATTTATTACTGCAAAGCAAACATATGTCGAAGTTCAGTTCGATGCCGTAAACCATAACCATACCAATCAGCAGAAGCTTGTTCTGCAGCTTTGTATTTATTCTCAAGCCGCTTTTGAGACGCCAAGACCTACCACAACAAGAATCCATAAAATAGAATCAAATTTCCGTTTCACAAGCATAACAAGAGATGAAACAAAAGAGTAGAAGCATCTGATGTAAGAGGCAACAAACAAACTAGCATGTAGCATCAGCGTTAATTATTTATGCAATAACACTGTAAAGACGATAGAAGAAAATGTGTTGAAACTTGGAAAAGACAACATTATGGCATTATTGGAAAGAAAGAAAATGCTCTGTCAATTATACTGAAGGCAGTCACAACAAACCTGTGCAGTGGCCTGCCTCATCTTTGTCAAGTCATCGTTCATCTCCAGAACTGCCTGCTCTAGAATCTTCTCAGGGTCTTCAAATGAACTTAGAACTGCATTTGCGTAGGACTAGAAAAACCGACGGGCACAAAACTTTAGATTACATATGAAAAATTGGTTACTGCAAATAACATAATGAAGGGAAAAAATACCACTCACCCTGACAACCCTTGTTAGTCTATCAAAGAGGTTACTTCGTATGCTATTGCACTTAAATCTGTTGACATTTGATTGTCGTAATTGCACAACTTTAAGTGACACTGTGGAGTGCAAGGAAGGGTAAATTAGTAGCCATAAACACAAATTTATAAACCATACCCATATCATTACATTCTGCACTTTGTAAAGCTCTCAACCGAAACATAATAGTTTTGTTCAATAGTATGAGCTTGTGCACTACAAACATGAGCAAAATCAAACATAAACATTCTGTAGAAGCATAGCCATCATGTATGGAATTCAACTTAGTGCGACAACATAAAATCAAAGCATGAGCAGTGGTCTCATCAAACAGGCATCACACACGATGAAAATGTTCCAGAAAAAAGATAATAGGATCCTGTGCTGGTGTTGACAACCATGAAGTGCACTGAGAATCAACATTCACCAATATCTTCAGCTAAGCAAAAGATGCTTCCACTTTACAGAGTAAATCTCAAAACATTACAAGTCGCGAGGAACTAATTTACTTTTGCCTATAAAGCC